ACTTTTCGATGCTCGAAAAAGGTGTTCATAATGGACAATCCGTTGTTTGCACGAAACCGCAACAACTTCAATTGTTGAGGTCGCTAGGGTCGTTTTTTCCAATCACGCCGTTCCACTTTTCAGCGTCTACTCAAACATGCGCATTAAAATGCAACAATAGTCGTATAGTTTATTGTAGCAAGTGTACTATTAGTTGTGCATGCATTATATGATATTGTAATGTTATTGCGCTACTAGTGTTAACCTTAGAATGGCTACTGCATTATGGTACTATGAACTGTCAGCAGTAGGGAAAAAAGGAAAGTTGTCATCCGCTGGAATGCCGGTCTTCCTTAAACGTTCATGACTGGGCCATTCTGGCGCCTTTGTTTTCAAGAATATCATGGTAGACAGTGGCAGAGTAGCTGTTTACTGCAAACACCGAACTGTGGCACTATGGAATGTCCAGTTTAGGATTAGAACTATACTACGGTCCAGCTACTGTGCACTTAACAACAGGTTTAGGTATGTCAGTTTGCAGTAGCACAGCATATTGTGTGGCACACAGTAAGGTATTAGTATATTTTTGTAGCACGAAAGCGAACTGTAAAATCGAATGAGCTACTCTGATACACTGTAGTACATTATCATATGCTATGTACTGTAAATATATCTATTTACAAGCAGTCAGACGATGATTTACAAAGCATTTGATCAGTAGCGGTATTCTTCAAACACCGAAACAAAATTTTATAATGAGGTATGTACATTTAATACGTCAAAATGTCACACAGACATCGCACATATAGTACAGTGATATACAAGATAGCGTTATTTGATGAATGGTAGATTTTTGATAGTACTTAGTAGTTTTAAAGGAAACAGCCAAGTTCATTTCCTGAACCTGGTATCTTGACGCAACTTTTAAAGTGCCTTTGCAAATATCGTGCCTCGAATGCGTAAAACAAAACTGATAATCATCATAAGGACGAATAAAGCAATTAAAAACATCGCAATTGAAATAAATGAAAATAATAAAAATAAATAAAAAACATAAACGATGACGCCTACCTGAGATAATGATGTCGCAGACGAAGCGGCGTGCAACAGGTCTTCTGCTCCTCCGCGGTCAGGACTGTTTTCCTTCTTCGGTGTGGACTTGGTGGTGGCAGCAGAATCCGAGGCTGTTTTCAAGATGTCGCCCCGAACGAGTTCAGGAGTAGCAACGAACTGCTTGGATGCCGCACTGACGCTGGCATGAACGTCTGCCTCGCAGCTCCTCGGTGCTTCCGTCACTTGGACGAACTATGAAGTCAGAAAACAGTCACAAACCTTTTCAGTGTAAACGGCGAGCGTTGCTATTTAATCACATGTGCAACTTGATGACTTTCGACTCTCGATATCGAAGACTAACGAGAGACAAGTCTGACTCAGTCTCTTTACTTTCTCATCTCCTAGCCCTTAAAGATGCTTAGTTTCAATCAAGCACTACCTTTGCAAAGCTTGATTCTCAAAAAGATGATGCAGAGAAATTGAAATTTTCTACAGGAGGAAAAGAAAAACTTTACAATGCGCCATAAAGCACGAATTCGATGCAATTATATGTAAAGTTTGATTGAATTCGCGGCTGTGGTGAAGCAGAAGTCGACTTGAAACGAAGCCGAGAAGTCGAGTGGAAATAAAATAGAAGCCGATTTGAAATGAAACGCTAGCGAATGCAAATCAACACCCTACTGCTGTCCAGCGGCTCTCGATATCCATTTAACTAGTGTTTACCAGCAACATCAACACAAGTTTCAGAACTCAACAACGAAGGCAGTAGCTTTAAACACCGTGAGCTCAGCTATGCGAATGAATTCTACGGTTGTCGTAGCAAAATCAATATTCAGTCATTCTAATGCTCTACAGATAATATAACTAATACAGTACTTTCGCAAAATATTTCTTTACTGCTACCATCTTATTGCTGAAAATAAGAGGAGTGAAACGCATGATCACATTCGCCCGTTGCACTGAGAAATACAGTACTGCCAATAGAAATAACAGCAACATGACAGTACAATATTAATATTAATTGCATACCTACTGATACCAGAATAATAACGGCAGCAGCACTAGTACTATCTGTGGTGGCATTGCAACTGACATGCATGTACTACAATATTTCTGTCAGCATCATCAATGTCAGTAGAAGCAGCACGGGAATTAATACTACGTGCATCGACTGAGGCCCAAACAAACGCAAAAGGTACAGGAGAGCAACGAATATCAGTACCATTAATATTACTGTACCACATATCAATTTCAATACAGTATCATTAACAACAACGGCCGTGCAGTGATACTTGTCGTACGTGTACTGCCGAAGGAGCTTTGGCGTGATACAATACACACGTACAGTAATGGTAGTCGTATAAGAGCAGTAACGGTGTTACTTACACTACTACACTGTTGGTGCTGATAGAAGCGCAGTACCATAAATGCTGTTAACAACAGCATGAGTTTTACAGTATTACCGATAAGACGAAGAAAGAAATATACTGGCCTTGGAGGAATGAATTTACAGAGGGAGTGGTACCAATACATTAGTTCTCAAACTCTCTAATGCACATAATGAAAGGCAAAAGAAACCACCCAGTTTCGTACCTTGCTGGCAACTGGCTGCACACGGTCATGGTGATAGCCAGTGGAGTTGAGCGAAATCACCGATGGCAAGGTGGACACGGCCGACGGATCGGTGGATAGACGCTTAGGCGCCGAAATCACTGTAGGCTGAAAATCACACTTTTGAGCTAAGACACCGTTGGAACTAGGAGTAGGTGCCGCTGTAGTCGTTGTTGTTTGTTGGCTGTCCGGCGAACTGGGCATGGTAGCGACGCCGTGCCTTGGGAGCACCTTCGTTGAACTATAGTTATTCGGCGCCGGGTTGTTGACCGCCGCCTGGCAGCCGACGTTCGCCCTTGACGAGCCGTACTGAATCACGTCAGAAATCGCCGGGGTCAGGATTAGGGGCTGAAACAACGACGAACCGGAAAGGACGCCTCCGACTGGAAACGATGAGCCGTTAGATACGATGTACCGCAGATGAGGAGCTGCTAAAAAACGCAAATGATATTAATCAGTTAATTAATTAAAACTAAAACCGCTATCCGTTCAAAGGACTAAAGTTACGCGGTGAAAAAATGGGCAATTTGTGCTCACCGTTCACCATATAAAAACAAATTAAGAACCTATTTTTCAGTGAAATGTTAAACTCAGTAAAAAAATAATTATTCCGCGAGTCTAGATCAATTAATGACGCGTCAACTGCCATTTGCGGTAATTAATCATAAAATTAATAGCATGCCACTGTCAATTATAAAATTAAATTCGAACACAGTGATCATTTGACCGGTATGTAAAATAAAATTGGGGCAAGTTACTCCATTTATTTATGAATTTCTTGTTACATGTATGAGTTGTGCATACTTTCTAATCATTGGTAGGTCGTCGTTCATTTTCTGTCCACCTTAGTGAGGAAGCGACTAGCAAGGTTGTACGAAGGACAACTGAGACAATGATGGAAGCGTTCTAGCTGATCTGTCTAAAGTTAACTGCAATAGTACAACAGTATTGTAAGCCTAGCACTGATTGCCCAACGATGTCAGCATATTGCTGCAAGGTACGATACTTCTGACTGCTCACGACTAAGTGTTGGACGAATCACCAACTGTTAACCTGATTAACTATTCATCATACAATAAAAAACTATTTGAATTTTTAAGCGGGAATCTAATTCTAAAGTGAAATTTTTTTTACTGCTGCACTGTTTTGTTTAGCTGGATTAATTCGACTCTTGAAAAACGGATCGAGTAAGATGCGAAACGTTCGAGGTTCCGTTGGTTACGCCGGGTCGACCATAAGCAATTTCTGAATTATGAATTTATGATGCAAGTTAATTGTTTGTGCCATTTTTCATTACGAGAAAAACTTGAACAAAATTGAACAAATAGTAATTAATTTACAATACCGCAGTAGACTTTAAATAAAAACTATCATGAACTGCTGTAGTGCTGATCTCCTACATTATTTGTTCATCAGTTGACTTATTTTGTCTAAAGTAGCAAAAAAGCCAATATACTTTCTTAATGATATACATGGCGCAAATTATTTCAGTTTTGACCGATGTTACTGCCATTGATCAACGGCAATATACAGCGATACGGTCATCAAAGATTGTCAAGATGTAATCATAATTGCTTTTTTCCTTTTGTCGGAAGTTTACATAAACCTTGCCATGTAAGACATTAACCGCGAAAAATTGCTGCAGAAACTTTTACCCAGCGACCTTTTCAAGGACATTACTGGATTTATCAGTTAAATTCAGTATACAGTGATGCAGTCATCAAATGTTGTAAAGATATAACCAGAGCTGTTTAGTTCTCTTTGCCGGAAGCTTACAGCCTGTCCGGCAAAAATTTATGATGAACCGTTACCGAAATTCCAGGCGTCGCGTTCGTACTTGTTCATAATTGTTAAAAACAAAGTTAGTTCATCAAAAACAAAATGGTGAAAGGCAGAATAGTTGCAATTACAATAATCAATCCAATTGTCGAAGAACTGCGACGTTTGAAAACACGCGGGCAACGGTTCTTCACAAATTTGTTACCGTACAAACTGTGAACTTCTGACAGAAAGAACAAGTATAATTATATTTCGACAATCTATGATGACCGTGTCGCAGCATAGTATTTGCCATTGATAAAAGCTGATAATATCACATGAAAGTTTGGTTCTGCGTCGAAGTTTAACCCTGTGTGCACCATTAATGAAGACTCAATACTTTACTCAGGTATGACGAAAACTTTCAAGGATTATCCGCAAAATACTAAATTAAAGCGGGGCGGCGACCAGTGAGTTGTAGTGTCATTTTGCACTTTAGGTGTCGGGTTAGAGAATAATGCGTGGAGTAAAAGTTTTCCAACTTTAACTCGATCTCTTTATTTTGTTTAGTAATTCATTTTGTCTTGATAATATAAGCAGTGTCGCTGCAGAAACACATTAAATGCTGAGAGAAACGTCACCACCCGAGTTCTACGCTGTGGTATTTCAACCGAGCAACATGAAACTATTCCATAAGAATGCCAAAATATTACGCTTAGAATCATTCGTCACTCTCTATTTAAGATTATGCTAACGGGATCTTGTCAGTGACTAACATTTCGAACTACTTTAGAGCGTACAAGTTAGACGACTAACCCCTGCTGGCCGCGGCAGCTTCGTTCGAGTTTTGGGGGAAAGAAAACAGCGCCGGAACGCCGTAATCGTTGGTTGCCGGGTTAGTGTGTACCATCAACGGGGAGGTGAAGGAGTTTGTCGAAGACTGGGACGAAGCGATTTCGACGGTTCGAGCCATGGAGTAAGTAAGCCCTGAACTGGACATCGGTTCTGTGTGCAAAACGGCATTTCGCGACGACGAACAGCACGAGGGCGGAAACCTTCGGTAGCAGCCGACGTCTGATGCTGATCCTGGTTCAGAAGGGGCCGTCATCGTTGCGCTGTAAGCAGCCACTGTAGTAAACAACGGAACGGAGACAACCGACAGCGCACACTCACCTCGACTGCTTAACCTCAGACGAAAAGGAGGAAACTTGAGGAAAGAAGAAGGCGTTGTTTGTAGAGTAAGATGAAGCCGCGGGGGGTAGAAACGCCACGCTGCTACCGTACGGTACTGTAGTCATCGGCTGTATCTTTGAGTAATCCGTCGCTGCCGCCGCATCGTCACATGATCTCTCGGTGCCGTTCGATGCACTAGCAGCGGAATCGGGCTGGTGTTCGAATCGGACCTTGTCCTCATACTCCGAATCAGAGGTAGACATTTTTTCAAGACATTTCAGGTCAGAATGAGAACCTGCAGCAGAAGCCACATGAAAAGATCCTTCTAAAGGACAAAAAGATATAGAACCCAATACAAACTGTCACCAAGAAAGCAAGCAATTATACTAAACTAAATTGGACGTGCCGTTTATAAATCAGGTTGTCTAACGTTTCATATCAAACGGCATCGTAAAACATCCTCTAATTCAGTGAAGTTTTGTTCTGCTCCAAGTGCTCAGTTCACATTCGTCTGTCATTAGGCGTTACGTAGTTGCAGCGCGTAGCTTTATTTTGAAATGGTTCCAAAACGGCGAGGAACGGCTGTCTTGCTGAGCTATGAACATCATTGGCACACGGCTTTAAAAAGAGAAACAATATGGAGTACGCTGCCTCTAGCGATCTGTATAGTTTGTATAAGGACGACGCCCTTCTTCATCTTCATCTTCCATCGCCGCTTCTCCTTTCGGGTGGCGGAGGCAGACGCGTCAGACAGTGCT